ACCGTGCACGACGTCACTCACGTAAGCAGGAGCAGCAGCTCCTCCTGAGCTCTCTTACTTCACACAAGGAAAAGTAATCTGGAGACTTGTTACGAGCTGTGCGCAAGCCTCTGACTGACATGGTGCAGGAAAAGGAACACAAATGTGGTTTTTTGTTCTAAAGCAAAAGCCTCTTGTAATCAAATACTTCTGCATTGGTCAGCTTCTTAGCTGAGGTTAGTCAGCTGTACGCTGATCTAATTTGCATTGCTTTGTATTTGTTATGGATGTGATCATCCATAAACTCCAGTAATTTATCAGTAATGCCCTCAGAGCCTTTCTGGCTGAAGAGTCTGATCAGATCAGTGCATTGTCTCTGGTGGCTGCAGGCCAAGCATTCTGTGTGATAGAAAAGGTAATAGTAACCTTAGCATGTTGTCAGCATTAGATTAATGGCTAAAAAAGATGTTATTTTAGGAACCTTTAGAAGTTATGCAGTCTGAATATGTGTTATGCAAATATTCAGTGTGGGGCACTTGCATCATATTAGAATGGATTTTAAAAAAATTATCTTTTCCATACCATTATAAAGATAATTCTGTCTGGGCTAAAGAGGATGATTTCACAGGAATGATGGATTAGATTTTATTCAGTTAATTTTTGGCAACAAATCTAGTTCTGATTTTAAGAAATCTGAAAAGGGGATTTTGGGCTATACCTTATTGAATGTGATGCTGGAAAGTAACCAAATGTTTTAATATGTTCAGGTTACAATCAGTGGAAAGATGTGTCCTCAGACGGGAATGGGAAAATCTGTGTTCCTCATGGAGGATATTGGTGATGGAGAAGGAGGCCAGGACTGCAGTGTATCCACAGTCATGTGCTCAGTTGAGGAGCTGGCATTAACTCATTACAGGAGGAATGGCTTCGATCAGGGTAACAGTGCTGTTGTTGCTTTGGGGGTATTTTGCAGTAAAATAACTGTGGGAATAAGTAAAGAAATCATTTACTAATCAGTTTAGTTAATAGACCAGTTTTAGCTGATTTTCTAGACCAGATTTTAAGCTAATTCTGTTTCCTTCCCGAACACCTCTTATACATCACTTCCTTACCAAAGTGCTCTAACATGTATTTTCAACTTGACCTGCTTTAATATCTAATGTGGGGGCCAGGCAGGGATGGAAGCTGCTGCAGCTTGAAGGCCCCTGGCCTGGGAGCAGCAGGCTTGGGGAATGGGGCAGAATGAGCTGCATTTGCAGCTGACACCAGCTGGCATGAACCTGAACGTGGTCAGATTATTTCTGCTTTGGGTCATGATGGGTCAGTACCTCTTCATATGACATTGCTGTAGGAATTATGTTTCCATTTTTATTAAACTCTGCCCTGCAGGTATTCATGGGGAAGGCTCAACGTTTATTACACTGTATGGGATTCTGATGTGGGATATCATTTTCATGGATGACATACCTGACGTGTTCAGAAATTCCTATCAGGTAATTTTGAAAGGCTTTCTTTATTTAATTTATTTTCCCATTGCTGTAGACTCAGTAACCATGTTAAAATCTTATATGGGATTTGATTAACATTTTATTCTGAGGGACTTTCCAGACAGATCTTGGTGTTTCCTTCATTTTATTATTTGTTATATTTGGTTTATTGTATTTTGTGGGATTGTGTGTGGCAGCCGTTTGTGTAAGGCTGTTTCCTAAGCACTCTGCATTTGCTTTTGGAAATGGCTCTCGGCCCTCTCTGCTCAGCAGCGCCAGAGCTGAGTTAGAGCTGAATTGCTGCAGGGGCTTTCACACCCTGAGCGTGCAGCGCCGGCCCGGGGCCGCTGGGGGATCCACCCGGCTTCATCACGGCTTTGTTCTTTCACCTCACACTGCTCACTGTGCCTGAGCTGTCTTATCCCGCTTCCAGATCCACCTGGAACTGCTCAGAGCGCTGGGAGTGCACAGGATTCTTTTTCTGTTAAAGGAAACCTCTGTCTAGGGTTCAAAACAGCAGAGCAGAGACCAAGATGGGACCAGTGTTTGTTGCACTGGCACTGGGTGTTAAACATAAGCTTTTTTTCCCCCATCTAATAAATATTTATATGGTGGTCATGTTCTAGATAAATCAGTTCAATGTTTGATTGACTTTGTAGTTAAGAAAAATATGAAGCAGGACATTGTCATTCTGGGAACAGCTGCTGTGGTGGCAGTTCCTGAGAGCTGGATTTACCTTTTCATCCAGACATCCCCCCTGGATTTATACACTGACAGCTTCTATGAGAACAGGAGGGCTGTCATCGAGGCCAGGCTCCAGCAGCTTCACACAGCTTCCTCTGAGACACTGGCAGAGCTGGTTGCTGACGTCTGGAGCACTCAGGAGGGAAAAGCAGCAGCTCTGGTTAACTGGGGACGTTTTACTTCCCTCCAGCAAGTCCAGGTAAGTGGCTGTTGCCCAGCATGGGCACTCCAATTAGGCTTGACATTCAATTACCCATGGCCCTGGTGTGCTCGTGGTTTTATTGAGGCACTGAGCCGTGGCAGATGGAGAGTGGTGGGAGGCAGGAATTGGAATTAGGGATTATTGTGCTGAAGTCCCTACACAAGTAGTGTTACAATTTTCTCATATGGTCATTTTTCCTGTAACAGTAGCTGAGAACACAGCAGGAAAATTGATGTAAGAAGCGCAGCAGGAAAATTGATGTAAGAAACATCTACTTATGTTTCTTGTTACGTTTCCTGAGACTGAACAAAGAGCTGAGGTGGGCCATGCAGTATTCTTGGAACAGTATTCTTGTGAGGGCTGTGAAATGGTTCTGCAGGAAATTAAACCAACCCAAACCAGCTAGCAAAGCCTCTCTTGCAGAGCCTGGTCTCTTGCCTTGGAGGGAGGTTCCTGAGCGGTGTTTTCCAGCGGCTTTCCAGGGACCTGCGGCACTGCCGGGGCGGCCTGCCCGACCTGCTCGTGTGGCGCTCGCACAGCCAGCGCTTCAAGGTGGGTGGGGAGCACCGAGTACCCAGTGCTCAGCTGCCTTCCCAGGGTAAAACCCCAACACCCTGTGCTCAACTGCCTTCCCTCTGTGGAACCCCAATGCCCAGTGCTCAGCTGCCTTTTCTCTGTGAACCCCAATGCCCAGTGCTCAGCTGCCTTCCCAGGGTAAAACCCCAACACCCAGTGCTCAGCTGCCTTCCCAGGGTAAAACCCCAACACCCTGTGCTCAGCTGCCTTCCCTCTGTAAAACCCTGCCCTTGTCAGCCCACACAAATGGTGATTTCCTTCGTGCAGCTCAGCCTCCCTGCCCCCATGGAGCACTGGGTGATTATCTGCTCCTCTAGTGGGTGTAGGGAACAGACATGATCAGCACTGGTGTAGATAAGGTCTTTGATTAAGCATAATCTGAAGCACCTGTTACAATCAGCCACACATTGACTGTTGTTAGCAAGGAGTTCTTCTGGCAGCACTTAGACAAAATGTGCACTATTTGAGTCCACAGCAACTGTGTCTGTGTCTGCTGCAGAAATTGAGTAAACAGTCATGGGTGGTGCCTTGCACAGTAGTGGAATAGCTGCTAGAGGAGTATTGGACATCTCATCTGTTGGAGCAGCTTGTTATGTGTTTATGGTACAGAGCTGAATAGCAGAAATTAGTTCTCTAAGGCACCTGGATAAGTTGCTGTCAGTATCAGCTGGAACAGGTGAGGGTGCAGACAATTGATTTTGCAGTATGAGAGATCTTCATTCACCAGGGCTTCTCTTTGTGTTTTGGTGGGTATTTACTATATAAAATTTCATTCTCTTACAGTTAAAAATTTGAAATATGGGGTAATAATTCAGCATCCCACTGGACCTTCCATTGTGCTAAGATCTCCATTATTTTTGTTGCAAGTAACAGCTGTTAAAAAATACTTCTTGTGTGGGAGCTAGTGATCCTTCAGTTCCTGCAGGGACACACTTGTAACCATGCCCCTTTCCTTGTAGCTGGTGGAGGTGAAGGGCCCCAACGACCGCCTGTCTCCTAAGCAGGTGCTGTGGCTGAGTGAGCTGCACAAGCTGGGGGCTGCAGTGGAGGTTTGTCACGTGCAGGACGTTGGGGGCAAGAGCAAACGCCTCAGCTGACACAGGTTGGATCATTGGTCAACTCGGGTGTTCCTAAAGGAATGGGTCGCACACACCAATGACTGCTGATTAATAAAAATAGTTTCTTCTAAAATTCTGGTTTCTTACAACATTACCATAGTCCTTTTTAGCACAAAACATTCTAAAATGTAATTTGAGAAAACTGCCAATATCATTTACTGCATGTCACTTTGTGTTGAGGAGAGCCCTTCCTTTCTCTCCTCAGTTCCTGACTTATTCTGTGAGGTAATCTGGGCTTTGCCCAGCGAGGAGAAGAGCTGCCTTCAAGTGTGAAGACCTGAGACCATCTCTGCCATACAGAAACTGGGCCATCAGGTGCTGCTCATTTGCAGGGTGTCCTAAATTCATTATGTTGGGCAAGTCTCCTTGCAAGGTTTGAGTTCAGCCCCTTGCCAGGATTGTCAGGTCCAGTGTGATTCTCTGTCTGTCCCCACTTACCGTGATGTATTTGAATTTTGCACTTGTACATAAACACATAGAGGTGGCAGAGAGTAGGGCATAAAGCATTAATGCTGTTCTAATGTGTATGAAAGGATAATTTATTTAACAGCCCCTTCTGTTTATGTGTATTACCTGTATAAAGGGGAATATTTCTGGTAGCAGACAGGAGTTGGTCAGTGCCAAGATGACCACATTCAGTACAGTCAGTTCTGCCCCACATAAATTGATGTGTTTGCTCATTCAGAAGTATGTCAGTCAACTGGAACTAAAAAGATGAATTCCATTTTAAGACACCAAAATCCTGTGGGTTTCTCCTAATTTTAACACACAGCCAACATCTTTTCTTTGGAGTCTTCATTCTCATACTAAGTTCCCTTCTGTGAGAAATTCTGTTCACTATGCAAACTGCAGACACTAAAACAGAACATAGCAAGAAATAAGATAATTTGCACATCATTTTTATTAATCATCTTTCTATAGCACAGTGTCCATGCTTTTCTTGGAAAAAACCACACACACACTTTTTGTTAGAGGAAGGGAAAGAAATCACCTGAAATTCACTGTGGAAAGGTACGAACTTTTATTGACTCTAATTTATTTCACATTCACAACTCAGCATCAGGATTTTATAATCTTCCTGCCACTGCTACTCAGTAAATCATTATCAGGCACAAAGGTTTTAGTTTCAGTTGAAATGGTGAATTCTAAACCATCACAGCAACAGCATTAGAAACCTACTGCCTAGAGCAATTTGAGGTACAAATTTCTGTCTCTTGGTTAGAGGCAAATTTAAGATTTCATCCTTTGCTTAAATACACGTTAGAATTTTTTGGTTTTAATATATTTCCATCTGAGAATAAGCCAAAAGGTTTGCCCAGCTTGCTACATTTTCATTGAAACACAAGGCAGTTAATTGTTCAGAGTGGTATTGCAGGCAGCTGCACACAAAGCACACGTGCAGCCTGGGCAGACACACCAAGTTCTCAGTGCACTCCTGGGGCACAGGGCAGTGCCTGAGGCTGAGGGGGCACCACAGCCCTGCACTGGGGCCAGCAGCTGCAGCAGCAACTGCAGAGCTCCCTGTGTGGTACAAAGCCATGACTCAGCCAGGAACAGCTGCAGCAATGCACATTTTCTACAAACACAAAAGGATGAGCTGCTTGGGAGCTTTCTACTCTGCAACACAAAGATGGCATTTAACAGTATGTTGCTTTAAATGGTGAACAGAAATGAAAATTTGGAAATATGTGTACATATATATACAGAGACATATATATACACACTTGCATGTCAGTATTCTGTACACAGAGTTAAGATACATACTCACACCCCAAAATTGCTTTTGAAAGTTATTAAAGATATTCAGAACAATCCCTACTGACTTGATAAGGCAACTGTGCAGACTGGAGAATATTCAAAATCAACACTTGGTACCTGTCCTTCAAAAGTGAATCTGAAAGTAGTGAGCTGTTGAACTCAGAGGAAGCAGCAGCATCCACAGGGACAGCAGCTCCTCAGCAAGGAAGCAGAACCTTGTCTTCAAGCCTAGGGAAAGCTGGAGCCCTTCCCTTCCTCTCTGCAGGAGGTTGCCCCTTCTCAGCCTCTGCTTACCTAATTCCCTTTTTGGAATTGTAAAAATTTCTTTTTAAGTCTGTTTGGCAAATAGATATTTCAACAGGTTTTATTTATTATAAAGGCATATTATTTTTAACCCTCTCCCATGCTATATATATAAAATACAAAGTCCCTCTGCAGCATCTGTACACATCTTAGAACTGAAATGTAAAAATGTCTGAAATCTCCTTATAAAAGACAATTCTGTTTAAATATAGTACCCATTTTTCCCCCAAAGGGTACTAGCCTAAACATTTCTTAATTCCACCAGCTGCTTTTGTGGAGTAATTTATTTACACAGTTTTGGTACCTTTAATCCAAAGAAGTTATACTTTTAAGGAAAGAAAAAAAAAAGACATTATAGTTTTGACTGTCATTTTAAAAGGAAAACAAAATTGGTACCAAAAGACACTAAGCACACAGGTTGAGGTCTTTATGTCAAGTATCAGGCCAGGGAAAGCAGTAAGCTAATGGGAAAAGAGGAATGGCAAAAGCAAACTAAAACAAACGTTTGAATAATGAACAAGTGAGATGACTACTGCAGCAAGCTTGGGAATAAACACAACTGGTTTGTGGACCATTCAACATGCTCAGCTCATCTTGCAGCATAATTAGGCAATTGAGGTGAATACACGTTTTTTCCTCACAAACAGTTGCCCAGGAGCCCTGGCATTGTGTCACAACAGCCCGTGCCTGCCCACGCCGTGCACAGCACACACACAACAGCTTCTTTGCATAGGAACGGGTTTGGAAGCTTGGTAAGGTAAAAAAGGAACCCCCTCCCCTGACATTGTTCACCTCTGCATTGGCCCTGCCCTGCTTCCCTCTCCAGCCCCAGTGCAGGCAAAGCACAGCCTGGGAGCCAAACCCCACTTTGTGATTGAGGCTGTGCTGAACATCAGTTTGGGTTTACAAACAAACATCTCCAAGTCTTATCCCCTCCCCCTTTTTCACACTTGAATACACTGCGTATTCCTATCCTGCAGCTTTCTTTTCCCCCGCCCTGAGAAAACTGAGAGCAGCTCTGAGCCCATTCTATAAGGCCTTTGGTGCCCTAAACTGGTGAGGCAATACCTGGATGGAGGCTCAGTGTCAGTTCAACAGCATTGGTGTTTATACAGAAATAATTTAATACAAAATACAGCCTTGCTGTTCAGAGAAGGCAGCTGACAGGAGCCTTAACCTATGAGAATGACACAGCACTATTTCCCCAACCTCCTGGAATTCTTCACACTCCTTCCTTTCTCCCTGTGAGTCCTCCTGTGGCACAGCATCCAGGGAGAGGCATCATTTAAAAAGGTTTCAGAACAACAAGGAGGCTGCTGCATGAAGCAGAAGGAGGCTGTTGGATGTAATTCCCTCAGGTAGTGCTTGTTCATTGCACTGTCCCTATGGATATTCAGCCTGCAAAAAGAAGGCACCACTCACTGCTCTCCTTGCAGCACCTGCACCCCTGGTGGAAGTGGCAATGAGGAGCCAGTGCTCCTTTCTGGAACCCAGCAGGGCTCAGGTGTGAGTTCTGCTGAAAGCTACTTCATCCTGCAAAGAGATGAGGAGAGGGATGGCAGGGATTGGGATCTGTGCATGGATATAATGCTGAGTAGTTGAGGTGCTCAAAAGGTGAGTCTTGTGGGAATTACAAACAAGTTTAACCTTAAAGAGGGGACACCTGCTGCTTCTTCTGGATGCCTGTTGTTTCCAGAAATGGAGAGGGGGAAGCAGGGGATGGAACAAGAACTTGCACAACAATCTGTTTTAAAAAGTTGGGGGGGGGGTGTCAGCTGCATTAGAGTAATCCTGCTACTGTTTCCTCCCAAATAAAGGCACTTCTAAAGCTACTGCAATACCATATCTACAGTAAATGTTTTAAGGTTAACAGTGCATTGTCCTGATGTGGATTTCTATAGTCTACAGTCAAGCTCATGACAAAGAGCACAAATCTGACTAATGTTAATGAACACATTTTGGGAAGAGAAAGAAAAGGGAACAAGCCCTTCCATGGATACACTGCATTAGCACAATGTAGGGTGATCAGTCATGGAGCATTAGTATGTTTGTATCTATGCAAGTAAGTGTTACTCCTGAAGAGGCAGACTGATAAAATAGTATATCCCAGATTTCAGCTGTCACTTCATCTCCACTGCAGTACTTTGGCTTTCCAAGCTGTTTTATCCAAGGGTCACTTCAGTCACTATCTGGAAAAACAAAGGTTATTTCAAGCAGAACCCTCACTAACGACCACACCAAGCCTTTCAATTAGCTAATGAAATGCTCTATCACTTGTAATGAGCCAAACCCCCAGGAACAGGAGGAATTGGGGAGCAGAAGCCCCAGCAGATGAGAACTACTGAAGACAACATTGTGCGATTTGAAGCATGACTTGCCTTGCTTTTAAATATTTGTGCAAATCTTACGTAATGTTTGTATATAAAAATTATTACAGCTTTCAATGCCGCATTTAGCAGTGTTAAGTTAGAAAAGACAAAATGATATGCTGTATTCTCCTCAAACCTTTAAACCTCCACATCACCTCAGTCTTCATTTGCAAGCGTCTCGGTGGATAGCCAGATTTTGGCACCACTTAAAAATTTGCTTAAAGGTGTTCCCAAAATGCTCCGTTTGCATAGGTTCCCTACAGGAGAAAATGGGAATGAGGAGGAGAGAAAGTCTGGGGTGCCTGAGGTGTCATTTAAACCATTTGCTCTGAAGTACATCCTGCTTTGATCCAGTTCTGAGCAGTGGCCTGGCAAGGAGGAGTTGCTCTTGTACTGCCGCAGGCTGCGGTTTAACATGTCCACCTCGTCTGCCAGCACAGAAACTCTGTGGAAGGCGGTGATGGAGCCGCCGTGGCTGATCTGCGCCTCAGGAACCCAGCGGAAGTAGCAGAGTTTCCACAGTTTGATTTGCGTTCCAGAGAGATGGGGCAGAATGACGCCGTGCAAATCGACGGGCTTTGCAAACCAGTCTCTGAAGTACTGCTCCATGCTGTGGCTCTGCCCCTCTGCTGAGTGCAAAAACTCCGGCTTCAATTTTAGAATCAGAGAGTTTCTTCTTGGAACGAACTCCTGCTCACCGATGATTCCGTTCTTTATTGCTGGGGGGACACCTCGCAATGTGGAGCTGTAGTTTTTCTGCAGAAAAGAAATACTGGTAATTTTCCAGTTCTACATTCATTGGAATAGTAAATTTCCCTGAACTGCCAGGGTGCATCATCCAGACAAATGCTGTGACCTTTAAATAGTTCTGAGCTTCTGAGTCACTGCTGCAGGGCTCACAGGGCAAACTGTGGCCTTTAAAAAGAAATACATATTTTTTTTGTAGCAACAAATGATAGACTTATAATCAGTATTTACTGAAATTACTGACAACCCCAGGGGAAAAAGTGGCCTGTCATCACTTTTCCAAAGGTGAAATAATGCAAATGTTGGCAGTGACTCGGCCACATCAGAAAATATCTTAAAACACAAGGCTCAATAATTTACATTGCTTCTTCTACAGAAAATAATTTCTTTAGGCTGGGAAGCCAAGACAAAGAAGGCTCCTACTGCTAATCCAGTGGCACCTGCAGCCTCCCCAGCACGAGCCCTGAGTGTGGGCAGAGCCCCTGCGAGCCCCCAGGTACCTTGGAGCGCTTGAAGGTGCGCAGGGCCCCGTTGTGCACGCCGGGCGCGCTCTTGCCCACGTACAGCGGGTTGTGGAACAGCAGCCGGTCCCGGCTCGTGAACTGCAGAGACCAGTCCCAAACACACGGAAACCTGAGGCCCTTCTCATCACCCAGCTGAATGTTTTTGCTTATAGCAAATTCCTGCAAGAAGTTAACATTCAGGCAGATTAAAATCACAGAAAATGGGCTTCTCATGAATCTTAAAACCAGCGTGTAACTATGGGGCAAAGAGGAGCAGGGTAGCACAACAGAGCAGCAAGACAGCTGAAGAAAACAGCTGCTCTGCATTTGTGCAATTACTTCTCAATTCCATTAAATTGGTTATTGGCATACTCTTAACCCCCAAACTGGCAATTTGAGAATTCACCAACAGTCCCTCAATGCTCTACTTCTTTGTAAAGTTGCTACCTATAACTTTAAAGGCAAAATATTTAATGAAAAAGTAAGTTTCATTTTTATCAGCCATCAGATGTTTTCTACACACAGTTCTGACAAGCTCTTTTTCAAAAACAAATTTAAGTGTTCAGTATTCTAAATGCCTCCATTGTGCATTACTACTGGAACTTTATGCAGCATCTCCAACCTTTTCAACTATTTAAACAATTATGTCAAGAGATTTCAAAGTTTGCCTGAAGCATGAAATTCTATTTATTGCCTGTCATTCTACTTTCTGAGTTCCAGATACAGATTTGCTTCCTAGAGGAGTACAAATAGCAATGTAGAGTACCAACATTTTCCTAGGAAAAAAACTAGAAATAAATTCAATAGACTTTCTTCTTGAATAGTTAGTCAGTGTCTCTGCACAGATCACCTGAATGTCATTATGATGGAATTCACCTGGGGACCTGAGTGTTTATCCCCAGACAGAGTGTGACAATTGAAGGGCACCCAGGAAGCGTTGATGGAGATGCTGTTATTCCCAGGGGCAGCCCCTCCTACTCACAGTGCTCTCCTTGACTCGCTGGTGGGGGCAGTTGAAGAGGAAGGTGCCGAACAAGGAGATGCGGGCGCTGTCGTGCAGGACGGTCAGGTACACCTCAGAGAACTCAAAGGCCGCTGGGTACTGCTCCAGCAGCTGCCAAACGCAGTCAAGGAACATCAAGAACAAAGGAGACTGGGAAAAGAAACAAGGAACGATCAGATTTAACATAAGCTTTTCTCATATCAAACCCATTTCTTTGCAGTTTTGGTATTTGGCTGTACCATTGGCACATTATTCAACCATAGGGTAAACTATTTGGAGTCTTGTATTTTTCATGATTCTATGCCATTGTTACACTCTGTATTCCTGTTTAGCCACATCTTTTTCAGCACTCCCTTTGCACAGCTTTCCTTTCTGTGTAAAAACTTCTTT